GATAGAGTTAAAAGTCTACATTGAGATAGACTTGATAAGACATAAAAATCTGTAATGCGGTAAGACTTGTCAGAGTTAAAAGTCTATGTTCTAATAGACTTTGACAGGGTAGAAGTCTATATTTGAGACAGACGTAACATTCTTTAATACTAAGGGGGTTCATAAGAAGTCAAATAGTTTGACTTTTGTAGGACCTGCCTTTTGAGTTGGTGTATGCATTCGAGTTCAAAATTTATCTAACCGGTGAGTTCAAGATTCACATCACTCCCGGGAAGAAAATTACTCAGTGTCACTACGCGTCAGTTCAAGTTCTCAAACACTGACATTAAGATCAACTCATTTTTATTGCTCAGACATTATCATTTTCCTTTCATCTTTAAATTTGTGGGGGATAATTGGAAAATTAAAAGGTGAAAGCTTTTTTGGTCCACCCCCACCCTTTGACTTTGTCATTGGAATAATGGAATGGAAATTGAATTCAAAGAATTCTCCATTTCATTATTCAGTAGCGCACCATGCGCTCCTCTGTAAGGAGCAGCGCCTTTGGCGCTAAAGTGTGGACAACACACTATGTCCATCATGTGGGTGGGATGGAGGGGCTGCTTACTATAAATAGCAACTCCCAACATCGTTTTAAAAAACACCTGACTTGAAGTCACATATTCTATTCTCCTTCTCTCTCCCTTAGTCTGAGCAATAGTGAGGTTCGCCTACATGATTGCTAGTGCAAGCTATCCGTAGTAGGTCTGTGTAGCTAGTCGAAAGCGTGCCAGGGTTCTAACTGCACCGTTACCGGGCAAATAATGCTTTTAAGGTAGTGTTATTATAACACGGCACAGATTTTCTTTCTACCATAGACCCATAGTGTCTGTGCTTCTTAAAAGACTTCTAGATCATGCGTTGACGTTGTGCATTTCCCCAACAGTATACACTTAAGGATCTAGAGTTGTCTCCACTGGTATTCGAGTCATTGAGATTGACTCCACGATATTTGAGATGTTGTTGTCCCTTAGTGGACTTGATTGCTGTCTGGAAGCCCTCCACACTGGTTCCACGTTTAACTATTGAGATTATGGTAATATTGTCCCCTGGGCGGACACGTGACTTGGTATTGAATTTGTGATTGTGATGAGAATTTTCATTATTAAAACTGTCAAATTAGGGCAATAAAACATCGTAACACATTTAGTGCATTGAAAAGATGTCCAGACTATAACAATCCTGCAATCAATTTGGTAAACCTAGAAAATGAAGAAATTTCAAAATAGCCACCGTTAACAACAAAAGGGAATATGACAAATAATGAAGATGAAGATAATGCAATGTCACTCAAAAGATAATTAAAAATAGAGTTAATTCCACTAGAGGTCCCTTGTTTTTTGTGACGATTCCAAATTTAGTCCCAGACTATTATTTTTGCCATTTAACATCCCAGACTATTATTTTTCGGACACTTTTACTCATTCTCATGAATTTTTCTATTTTTAATAAAATATGAAAAGACAAAAATGCCCTTACTAAAAATAGGAAAAATCATAAAAAGGACTAAAAGTGTCCAAAAAGATACTAGTCTGGGATGTTAAATGGCAAAAACAATAGTCTAGGACTAAATTTGAAATTGCCCCCAAATACAAGGGATATCTGATTGAATTAATTCTCAAATCAAAAGTAGTATTTATTTGAGTTAATACCTCCAATAGTCCTCCGAGTATTAGCCATTTACCAGTTGTGGTCATCCGACTTTTAAACAACCACGAGACGTCCTCCAAGTTTTAAAAAATTACCACGAGTGGTCCTCCGTTAGATTTTCTGTTAAATAGGCGTTAAGTTAAAGGGCAAATTTGTCTTTTATCAAATGAAAACACTGGTTAGTCAAAATAAGCTCTTCCAAGTCTCTAGTACCGACGTACCGTATCACGCTAAGCTAGCTGCAAGAAATCCCTAGTAGCATTGGTATACCTGTAGATTGAAGATCGAGAATGTCGATCGGAGAACTCGCTTGTACCACGACGATGGAATCCCCGGTACTGCAGAGAAGATTGCTGCACTTGTGAAGTCGACTAATGTCACCGTGGAGTCGTACTGGCCTAGCCTCTTCGCCAAGCTCTATGAGAAGAGGAATATTGAGGATCTCATCATGAACGTCGGCGCCGGTGGTGGAGGTGGCGTTGTTGCCGTTGCTGCTCCGGCTACAGGTGGTGCTGCCCCACCCGCAGCTGCCGAGGAAAAGAAGGAAGAACCTAAGGAAGAGAGTGACGATGACATGGAATTCAGGTTGTTCGATTAGGAGGTGCATTAGTATTATTGTTACAAGGATAATAGTTTCTTGTTTATGCTTGAGACATTTCTCAGTTGTATACCTCTTTTTGTGGATCTGTATATTACCTAACATGTTTTGTTTTAATTGATTACTGTTTCTTTCTTTTTGCAACTCTTGTCGAATCTGCTTGTGTTCTGCTATGACTTCGTGGCCAACCTTGAATGAGATGAAATTATTTCCCCCTTTAAGAAGTTGCAGAAGTAGTGTGAGATCCACCGGAGGAAGACGGCGCAGCCGCAGGTGGCGGTTAACCACCACCACCATCCGATGAATGAGTCCGCGTATAACCCGGGCCGGCTCAGCGTCTCGGCGCCGTACTCCGACAAGCAGTTGACGGACTTGACGCCGAACAACAACACCGGTGCGACTCGCCGTCTTTGGCTTCCTCCACCGTCATTTCGGCGGCGCCAGCTACAAATGGAGCAGCGTCACTCTCGTCTGTGAGGGCAAGAAATCTTAGTTTTTTTTTTCTTTGTTGTTTTTTTTTTTTTTTTTAAAAAAAAAAAACTCTAAAATGAGAAATGACAATTTTGCCTCCACATTTAACGCATATTTGACAGAAAATCTAACGGAGGACCATTGACAGTAACTTTTTAAAACTTAGAGGACGTCTCGTGGTCGTTTAAAAGTCGGATGACCACCGCTGATAAATGGCTAATACTCAGAGGACCATCGGAGGTATTAACTCTATTTATTTAAACTATCATTTTTAGACCAACTATTTAGACTATTGATTTTACAAAGTTGCAAACATTTATTTTTGTGACAATTATAATGAATTTCCTATATTGTCTTGTATTCATATACTTTGAGTTACATATTTAAATAAAGGGAAAATGACACTTTTTCCCCCTATGTTATATGCTTATAGCACTTTTTCCCCCTGAGTTATTCATGCATCCACATTTGCCCCCTCAATTATTATAAAAGTGGCAATTTCACCCCCTAATAATATTAAATGGACATTTCTACACTTAAAATAAATATTTTATTTATTTATCTTCTTCAACAAATTATTGCTTATACGTAGGGATGACCACGGTTCGGTTCGAACTGAACCGAACACTATAACAATCATATAAAAAAATTTCGGTTATAATTCATAACATAACCCAATATTTGGAGTTCCGTTTATTAAAATCATGAAGTGAAAAAAAATGGATCCTGAACCGTGAACCAGATGTTCAAATCAGAACAACTACTAGCAATAGCTTAAAATTAGAATTATAATATTTGCAAATAGTGTATGTTTTTTTTCGCATTTATATTGACTCTCACATATAAATATATATAATCGCAATTTGATTTTTATTTTGAATCGTCGGTTCACGATTTCGGATCCAATTTGAATTGTTGGTTCAAACTTTATTTAAAAATTTTAATTTTTTTATAATTAAAGTATTCGAAAAATTCAACAATTAATGTATTTTATTTTTTCAAATCGTGGTTATAATTTGTTGGAGAAGAAAAATAAATGAAATATTTATTTTAAGGGTAAATATGTCCATTTAATATATCAGGGGGAAAAACGGTCATTTAAATAATTTAGGGGGAAAAAGTGCTATAAGTATATAACACAGGGGGAAAAAGTGTCATTTTCCCTTAAATAAACAAGGGATAAGGGTCAAATAGGCCATCGAACTGCACACGATAAAACAATTAGGCCATTGAACCTAAAAAACCAACAATTAGGTCCCTAAACTAATCAATTTCAAACAATTCTTCATCTCCCAAATTAATTATTTTTTTAAAAAATAAATTTTAAAAATTAATTATTTTTAAATTAAATTAAAAAGAAAACTGGAATCCAGCCGGAGACGGTGTCGTCTCCGGCTGGAACCAGTTTTTTTTTTTTTTAATTTAAATAATTAATTTTTAAAATTTAAATTTTAAAAAATAATTAATTTGGAAGGATGACCTGTTGACCTGTTAGAAACTTTCAAATTGGAAGAATTGTTTGAAATTGATTAGTTTAGGGACCCAATTGTTGATTTTTTAAGTTCAGTGGCCTAATTGTTTTATCGTGTGCAGTTCGATGGCCTATTTGACCCTTACAAATTCAACATTCAATTACATATGTATGAACTTTTTCTATTTAATTTTGCATTGATATACTTTCAAATATTTATTTAAATATAAACATTGGTCATTAATCTATTCGCGCAATGCGTCTATATATATATATATATATATATATATATATATATATATATATATATATATATATATAGCTCCAAAACACCGTTGTTTTGGGCGGTACTTTTGCTAAAATGTAATAGACCGAAAGTTTGTTGAGATTAACTGGAGGGAATGGGGAGAGTGATTTGCAGAAGAAGAATGGGGGAGAATTGCAAAGTATAAAAAATGTAGATTTCAGAGAAATAGGAGGGAGAAAAGGAATAACTTTCATTAAAACTCAGCATGATAATCCAAACACTGCCTACAACTTCAAATATCAAATCCACAGCATCCGTATGGATCCCTTCAGTCCTATGCAAGCAGACAAAGCTGGTTTTATTCTTTGATCCAAAAACGCCATTTTGGCGCCCATTCTCTTCTGCTATTTCGCTTAGGTCCTTCTCTGCTGAATTTAATCCATTCACCTGCTTCTGTTTCTGCTTAATGATATTTTACTTCCCTTTGTTATCATCAAGGCAGGAAAGCAACTAATTAGGATGGGTTGTTTCCACTTTGTTTTTAGTTTCATTTCATCACAACAGAAGTAGCAATATGCCTAGTTATTACGTACATTTAAAAAAAAAATTACACAACTCTACTTTCTACACACATAAATTACACAATTGCACTAAGCACCTTAGTGTTTAGTTGACACTTCTCTGTGGCTCTCATTGAGGAAAGGTCACAGGATCGAATCCCCAGGAGTGGGGTATTGACTTTTTGGGCTACAACAGATGAAAATGTTGGTCAATGGACCGGAAACAAGACTGCAAAGATCAGACAGAAATGTTGATCCATGTAAACAATGAAATTTGAATTCTTACTTTATTCTCTCATTATTCTTCTCCAATGGAATTATAATTATTTTCCTCCTTAATTCCTTCCTTGCAACCAAACACCCCTTAAAGGTTTAAATTACTTTGAGCACAGGCATACAAAGCATCAATGGTAGAATAAAGTAAAAAGCAAAAAAGACAAAAAAAAATAAAAATAAAAATAAAAATAGCACTATTTCATTAATTTGATCCTCAACAGGAAAATTTAGCAAAGATATTTAGGTGATCCATACTAGAAACAAATCCAACTCGACCCTCAATAAAGCATCTTGTAGATATAACAGCTCTAATGAAGATTGAAGAATGCCCCTGCTTTACTTTGACAGATGCAATATAAATTATATCCTTACCGATAAAGTTGGAGGAGTGTCATGCAACAGGAATTTTGGGTTCTCCTAAGTTCACAAATGCCTGTGCGCGAGCCATGCGTACCAATGCAGATTGCCAAGAAACAAGGTGATTCATGAACATGTTAACATACTTGGCTTTATCATTCTGTAAAAAAGAGGAGGAATTTAGAAAATGACTGAAGATAAACAATAGAATTAAGAGTCAGAGATATATAATACTTGTGAGTTGTTACCTGGTAATCAATATAATAAGCGTGATGCAAATCAGAAAAAGATAGGTTATCATCAGCATGTATCATGTCTGTGTATGCAAGCAAATAGTGCTGTGTGTGTGTGTGTGTGTGTTTAAATGTTTAATTAAAAGGGAGGAACAGTGAAAAAGGGGTAAAAGTAGGTGACGATGAACATACTTCCCACATATCCAAACAGATGAGAGGCTGGAAAATTAAGAGAAGTCAAATTAACATCAAGAGAAGTTTATCAAATATTTTTAATGCTTGTAATACAGATGAGATCCGCAAAAAGTCCTCACAATGTCATTCCACAAAAGAGGGTTGACAGCATTTGATGTTCTAACAACAGCAAGACGTTTCTCCTCACTCTTCACTGAAAAATAACAAATCAATCAGAAGACATGAAGCACACATCAAACAAATATACAAGTTAGAAGACATATGAAGCTATGAGCAATTTGTCCATTGAGACACTAAGGGGGTGTTCGGTTTGCTGGAAAACATTTTCCAAGGAACTAGAATTTCTAAAATTTGAGGAAAACTCTGTTATGCTTTGTTTGGTTCAAAGGAATTTTTTCCAAAGGAACTTAATTCCTCAAATATGAGGAAAATATTTTCTTAACTCGGTATTTTATTTTCAATAGCATTTGGGAACAAATGTTCACTTAGCAAGACAAAACTACCCTCATATGACCTGATTGTATTGAGCATAGTTTGGAGATGCAAGTTATCAAATAATGCTTATTTAAATATTGCAATAATATTTATGATATTAAATATATAATTATAATATTTTAATTTAAATTTTTTTATTTTATAATGTTTTAATATTTTAATTTATAAATTACTATTACTATTACTTAAATTATCATTATTATTGTGTAGGGACATGTACTTTATACTCATTATTCCTTACAATTCCAAACCCAACCAAACAATAGAATCAACATTTCATTCTCAATTATTTTCCACGAACCAAATAGGCTGTAATGACTACAATTGAGACTATAGAAGCATGTATCCTTTCTCCATTGATGTGATGACCACAAGAATACAAGGCATTTTCCCAATGCAGACACTTTGTATATTCATATGCCATTTTACCTCAAGAAATCTATCAAAGAGCTGAAATGATTTCGATTCTTCAAATTCATTATATCTTTGATTTCCAAATTTTGATAAGGCACCTATATAAACCTATACATACACCAAACAAAAAGTTTGACAGAAATTTTCAGTGACTTTCAGATTGGTAAAAATGATACCAGTCATTTATGCTCCTAATGATGCTCTCAGGAAATGTACTTGATACGTTGAAAATATAATTGAAGAAATGGTTGACCTTCATCTCCTCATTTATTTTAATTACTTTTAACTGAATGAATATTAGGACAAGGTATAAATGTTTAGCCATGAGGCACTCTAATTGCAATGGATAATCAGCCCATCCATGGCACATTACTGGTTTGGTTCAGAATGGAGGCTATTACTAGTAAAGTAGACTTGTAATAACAGCTTAAGAAAATGTCAAAAGCCCACTTGTAGAGAACTTACAAACAAGCCAAACCCAACCAGAGCCAAATGATGTGAGGGCTACTTCTACGAACTTCTCTCTGAAATTTGTGAATGAGCCAAAATCCTTTTCAATCTGCTTTAGTAGACTCAATGTAGGCATATCCCCTCCTCCAGGTTGCATGGATTCCCAAAAGAAATCATGATTCCATACCTATAAAAGCATAAGGCTTCCATAAGTAGTGCAATAGCTAAATAAGCTTCATAAGAGACTGAAGCATCAGCAGCTGAGAGGGAAGTAAAGTTCACTTTTTTCACTTGGCTCGATTTGGTGACACAACTCAGAAAGATATCTCAATAGGCATTCTGTAGATAGCCCTACCATAATTGAAGTAAGCAAATTCTGAATGCAATGTTCATAAAATTTCAATATAGCATCTGTCACCTACAGGAGTATTGTAATTTCATTACTATTTTGCTCTTGTTATTATTATTATTATTATTATTATTATTATACAAGGACATTTTAGTCTTTATTCACTTCTTCCGACTCAATTTCAGCAATTCTATTCCTGCATACCAAACAATGTAATTTGAATTCCCAACTTACCCTCTTCCCACGGAATTACAATTCCTTTCCCCTTTAATTCCCTCCTTCCAACCAAACGCCCTGACATGTTGATTGAAAACTAAAAACAAGTGCAACATGGCATTTGTAATCTGTATGGATACACTAGACTCTAAAACTTGTCAACCATGTAAATGTAAATGTAATGAAGTGACGAGAGGTGAGAATGACAGACCCCACATACCTGAGCAGCATTGTTGAATTCAGGTAATGGATTACCATTGTTATAGGTCACTCTAATAAGTTCTTCCATGGTGAATCCATACAGTAAATCATTCTTCTCAAGCTGTTTGTTAAGGGCATCCACATAACTACGATGGTGCCCACCCCAGTGTATCTCTAGTGTCCTTCGGCTCATGTATGGCTCTAATGCATCCTGCAAGTGCAAATTGCATAATAAAAAATTAACAGAAATAAATAAAGAAATGTAGCAGGTAAGCTAAAGAAGTGAATCCTCTAAATCTGAACAAACAAGATTGAAAAGCTAAAAATCACGGAAGCCTGGCCTCACAAGTTCAAACGGAGGCGCTTTGAGGCCGTAATAGGCACAAACTTTCCCTGCAGGGTAGCGATTATGACTTCTTCTGTCGCGCTTCTTCAAGCCCTACATTCAAGATACCAGCAGAATTCAGAAATTAGAAATGCTGAGAAGCAGGACACAGGAATGAACGTACGATATAAGAAATTTTGCCCCAGCTCTTTAATTGCTTCAATGGCGCATTGGAAGTGTGAAGAATCATAGAGCTTGAAGTAGTAGTAGAAAGGGAACACCAACTCATGTCTCTCCCTTGACGCTTAAAAATAGAAGAAATTTCTGCAGAAAAAACGGAAGAAACAACATTATATTTTGTGCGAATATGAACATATATATGATAATGAAAGCATAACTTGCCTGGAACTGGATTTTCAAAGCTTTCTTCTTTTTGCTTGTAAAGCGATAACGGGGAGGCAACTTTAGTCTTTAGGCAAGGCCGCGAGGGCAGGGCGTGTCTGATGGCAATTTATATCCTACACCAGGGTGCGCGTTGCAATATGCGTCCAGATACAAAACGACGTCCGTTTTAATTTTTTTTTTTTTTTTTAAATTTTCCACCCCAGTGAATGGCAGTAGTTTTTTCTTTAAAAAAAAAAAAACCCGTTGTTCAAGAATGTACATAATGTAATACTTGAATACACATAATTGTATACATGAATGTACATAATTATATAACAAAATATACATACTCTTTTTAAAAGATAATACACATAATCTAACATAATACATAATAAACATAAACTTTTAACATAATACACATCAACTCTTAACATAATACACACAAATTTTCTGATTCGGATGTACATAATTGTATAAAAAGAATGTACATAATTGTATAAAAAATACACATAACTGTATGAACCAATACACATAACGTTGTGAACAAATACACATAACGTTGTGAACAAATACACATAATCCCAGCAACTTCCTACGGCGCTTCCGAACACGACCCCAAACGACGTCGTTTTGGGAGGCGCGCGGCGCACAGTGCTATGTGCGCCGTGGTGTAGGATATAACGATTGGTGTCTGATTGTCTGGGCTGTAATCCCAAGCTGATGTTGGGCCTTCCATAATAAGGGTCCGTTTGGAAAGCAGGAAAATGACTTCTGAAAAATGTTTTCTGGAAAATGAGTCATTTTCCATAAAACATTTTCCTTTCCAGTGTTTGGTTGCATTATGGAAAGCTGTTTTTCTGTGTTTGGTTCTGATGGATATATTGGACCCGGAGCGAACCGACCCGGAGAGACGGACCCGAGAAGTCCCTTGGCCCAGTCAAGTGGGCCGTGGCCGAGTCGGCCCAAGGCATCTCGGCCTTGGGCCGAGTCTGGCCACGGGAGGGCTCGGTACACCCGAGCCCACCACCATGGACTCGGCCACTGCCGGGCCGGTCTATGGGGGACTCGGCTAGGCCGAGCTCGGCAGCTCGGCCATGCCGAGTCGGCCCGCCTTGGACCCGGTCTCGGGGGGACGCGGTCAAGGCGGGCCGATCCAACTAACCCCGATTCTAGGGCTGCGGTTGGGGAGTTTGAGCTGATATAAAAGGACTCCCTCTTGTCCTAGCAAAGGACCTGATTATTACACAACACAACAGATTCCTAAATTGCTATCTTCTAGCCTTATTGTCCTAATCGAGCCTTGTAATAGCTTATTAGCGACATACGGTCCCGCGACCTACGGTCCCTGCGACCTTATTATATCTTTGCGTCCAATTATTTATTTCGTACGTATACTTATCCGGGTTTAATAATTCGGGATACCCACGGGGAATTAAATCCATCATTGGTGCTCTTGTTGAGAGCTGCTGTACCAGCTCAAGCATATTCTACGTCTAGCGGTCTACCACGATCACTTATCATGACGAGGTCGAGATCCAAATCTCGCCACACCGCGGTTCCCGTGGCACCCAGCTTGTCGCAAACGGGAACGGCCCCAGCAGGGCCCCCAGCACCCAACCGGCCGCCTCTAACAGGTCGGGAGGAGACTTGAGGGCCCATCTCACCAGCCGCCGGAGCGGAGGCCCAACGCCGCCACCACCGCCTGCCATCCCCGCCCCTACTCGCGCACTCATCCGGGAGGGGGTGGCAGTCTTCGAAAACGCCTCCACGGCACTGGCACGTGTTGCGGCGGGCTTGCGCGCGGGGGACCAGACCGACCTGGGCATTCCCCAAGTGGGCCTGCCACCGGACATCATCCCACCTCCCCCTCCTCCTCTCTCCAGGGGGGGCAGTGGGCCGAGCGCCGTGCCGCCTTCGGCACGGGTCACCCAAGGGGAAGTCAACTCCCCCCACCCGACGGACGGACAAAGAGGAGAGAGTTCCCGCCGTGACCGTCGGCACGACGATAATGGGAGAGCTCCAACTCAAACCAGGCCCGCCCTGGAACGGTTGGGCGACCGCATCTCGGCTCGGGACAGGCTGGGTCCGAGGTCGGCCGCCAACGACCCACCACCAACAGAGTCGTGTTCCCGCAGGCCGCCACGTCAAGCGCCGGGCACCCGGAGGTCGTCAAGCCGCGGAGCCCGAGCCCGGCCACAACGGGGGGCGGACTCACGTAGGTCCCCAGATCAGGGGGCCCGAGCTCCAGCGCGACACGGGCAGCCCTCCCGGGTCGAGCGGACAGGCGAGACAAATGGCCGAGTCCCGAGCTCCAATCGGGACGAGGTCGAACAGCTGCGACGGAGGATGGACGAGCTCTAGAAGAAGTTTGACGAGAGGGACAGCTCCCCGGAGCCCCATGACCTGTTGTCCACCCCGTTCGCGAGTTCTATCATGGAGGAACCCTTGCCCAAGGATTTCCGTTTCCCCACCATCAAGGCATACTCGGGGACCACGGACCCACAAGCTCACCTCACCAGGTATAGGGCCGCCATGTTAATTACCGAGGCTACCGACGCCATCCTATGCAGGGGATTCTTTGCCACGCTAGACGGACAAGCACATGATTGGTTCGGGTCCTTGCCAGGGGGATCCATCTCCACCTTCGCGGACCTTACCAAGCAGTTCCTGTCCCACTTCGCCACCAGCATCCCGAGGAAGAAGCAGATCGCCGACCTGTGCGACCTGAAACAGAGAAGCTCGGAATCACTGGCTGAGTATCTCAGCAAGTGGAAGAAAGAGGTCATGGGAGTCACCAACTTCGATGGTAAGTCGGCTATACCAATTTTCAGGAACAATGTGAGGTCGGGTGCTTTCCACCAGGATCTCATCCGGTACCCCCCGAAGAACTATGCCGACCTGATGGACAGGGCGGCGAGATATGCCGACGCTGAGGCAGCCGAGAAGAGGAAACGGGAGAGGCCGGAAGGACAAGGCCCCCCAGGAGGAGCGCGGTAGGGCATCTCGGCAGCATCGTCGAGAATATGCCGAGGGGCCTAGGCTGAACCCCACACGGTTCCTCACCCCGCTGACGCACCCCGTGAGTGTCATCCTAGCCCACGCAGAGGACCAGGGGATCGTCGAGTTTCCGAAGGCGGAGTGCATGAAAATCTCGGCGAAGGGTGACCCCAAGAAGTACTGCCGGTTCCACCGCCAAAAGGGTCACGACACGGATGAGTGCATCCTCCTGAAGAAGCAAATTGAGGAGCTCATCCAGATGGGCTACCTGGGCCACTTCATCAAGCGGCCCAACCAACCCACAGGCCAGGGCCGGGACAACGTATGGAAGAAAGGGAGTAGTGCTCCCGCTCCACCCAACTCGGCACCTCGCAAGAGAGAGCACGACCAAAGCTCCGAAGAAGACGACAAGACGACGGAAGACTCCCAGCCCCCAAAGAAGCGGTCCATCTATGTCATTTTTGGACGACCCGAGGGTGGCGACACCCCAGCCGAACGGAAGAAGTGGGCGAAGAGTCTGTACGTTGGGGAGGTGACACAAGCCCCACGAGAGAAGAAGCTTCGAAGGGAACCCATCACCTTCACCGAGGACGACCTGCCAGATGGTCCCCTGCTACACCGAGATGCCTTGGTGATCAAGTTGGACGTCAACAACGTGGTGGTGCACCGAGTTCTTGTAGACACGGGCAGCTCGGTAAATGTCATGTACTACGACACGTTCATCCAACTCGGCCTACCAAAGGACCAGCTGGAGCAGGTTAGGACACCCCTTTCTAGGTTCACGGGGGACTCGATCGAGACAGAGGGATCGATTAGCCTGGAAGTGGAGATAGGCACCCCACCTCACCTCAAGAAGTGGAAGGTCGAGTTCGTGGTGGTAAAGATCAGCTGCGCCCACAACATGATACTTGGTCGCCCCGCTCTGGAGGACCTCAGGTGTGTAATTTCCATGGAGCACCTGTGTCTCAAGTTCCCAACCCCGAATGGAGTCGGGACTGCCCGAGGAGACCAGAGAGTGAGTCGTAGCTGTTACCTACGAGCGTGCCGCCAGATGGGCAAGAAGGACCTCCGGGTCCACACCATAGCCGAGAAGGCACTACGAGACGAGACGAGTCGGCCTCGGGCCGAACCCATAGTCGAGTCGGAGGAAGTCGTCCTAGATCTCAACCGACCCGACCGGGTCGTAAAGGTTGGGGTCGGCCTCCCGGAGGAGCTCCGAGCTCGCATCATCGACACGATCCGGAGTTACAAGGAGATCTTCGCGTGGGGCCTCGAAGACATGCTAGGCCTCAGCCGTGAGGTGATCACACACAAGCTGGCTGTAGACCCCTCGGTCAAGCCAATCCAACAGCGGAAGAGGTACCTCTCCACAGACAGGAGAGAATTCGTGAAAAAAGAGGTCGACACCCTCCTGGAGATAGGTCACATCAGAGAGCTCATATACCCCACCTGGTTGGCTAATGTGGTCCTCGCCCCAAAGCCGCCCACCTGGAGGATGTGCGTGGACTACACCGACCTCAACAAGGCCTGCCCCATGGACCCCTTCCCGCTTCCCAACATCGACCAGCTGGTAGACGAGACAGCGGGGTGTGCCCTCATGAGTTTCCTTGACGCGTTCAGGGGGTACCACAGCTTTCACTACTCCAGAAGGGGTCTACTGTTACAAGGTCATGGCCTTCGGGTTGAAGAACACGGGTGCCACCTACACCCGGATGGTGGCCAAGGTGTTCAAACAAGTCCTCGGTCGCAACCTACAAGCTTACGTGGACGACATGATAGTGAAGAGCACCGAGGCTAGCTTGCACACGGACGACCTAGCTGAGGTATTTTCAATTATGCAGTGTTTCAATTTGCGACTGAACCCCAAGAAATGCACCTTCGGGGTCCACGAGGGGAAGTTCTTGGGGTACATGGTGTCCAAGAAGGGCATTGAGCCCAACCCGGACAAGGTGAAAGCTATCCTAGACATGGAGCCCCCAAGATGTCTCCGGGAAGTCCAGCGCCTCAATGGGCGACTAGCGGCCCTCGGCCGTTTCCTCTCGAGATCGGCCGAGAGATCTCTACCATTTTTTGGAGTCTTCAAGAAAGCTAAAGGGTTCGAGTGGTCTCCG